TTAGTAATTTGTCTTGCTTGTTAGTTGGGCCAGGGGTTTAATTACTAGCTTATCAAATTGTATATGTATACACATTGTACTGGCCGTATGGCGCACAAGGGAAATACACAGAAATTTACCCTAATTACTACTCTAATTTGATTAGAAGGGGCAGGGAGAGGGAGGGCTGGAGCAAACACCGTGGACGCCTAGAGCGATTGTTTTTTTAATCATCCTAGAGCGATTGTTAATAAACTGGGTTTTATTATTCAACTGGTTTTAATTATTCACCAAGTGATTGTGATTTGTAAATAATGAATGACAGAATGTGTGAATCGGTGATGGTGATGTGAATAATTGATATTGTGAATTTGTGCAGAGCCGCCCAATGAATTTGGAGGTCCTGTTCCGAACGTAAAATCGAGGCTCTATATTAATATTAAGAATTAGAAAGAAACTTAAACAAAATACTTATATTGAAATCAATTGAATATTCATCAAATAATGTAATAAAAATCATTTTATAGTTGATTTAAAGCTACACAACTCATCTCTCAATCAATTTGAATAAAACATGAGTAAGAATACCGACAAAAAAACTTTATTTTATTGATTAGTATTTGTTTATATTATTAGTTATTACTATGTAATATGTACTAATAAACTTTTAGAAAATTGGGGCCCCGGAAATCGGGAGACCCTGTTCTGTAGAACATGTTGAACATGCTGAACGCCGGCTCTGAATTTGTGATATGTTTCAGATTAAATTATACTTCTACTAGTTATTACTTACGTAGTATAATACTACCTCCGTCCTGTTGGAATGTTCCCGTTCGGTTTACGATGCTTGACTGACGATAAAGCAACTCGATCCCTGTTACAAAGCCTGGTCAAGAAAAGTTCAATTTGATAAAAATTTGATATATAAAGTAAAAGATTAGGAGTGACCTAAGTTGACCAATGAATAGTGAACGGAAACATTCCAACGGGACGGAGGGAGTACATATATTTTTTATTTTTCTGTAAACCCTACCATACATGGGAAAACTTAGTTTGTATTGTACTATCTCTATCCCATATTGATTTAAAAATTTGACATTTCTAGGTCAAATAATTTCATTTTATTTGCTTAATTAGAATGTCAATTTTTAAGTATATTCTAATTTTGGAGTTTTCAATTTTAAAGATAATTTAATGTAGTTTCTGAATATATAAATTTTGATTATTAAAAATTGATTTAATTATTGATATGTAAGTTTGACTTTTATTATTGGTTAATCAAAAAAATTTGACTGGTCCCTAGAAAGCTAGCTAACTCTGCCGCTATATGGAGAAATGGGTGAAGTTGGGAGGTGTTGCACTGGGTGCTCGGCTTATATCTCTGCCCCTATGTACTTTCACTTGCCTCTGCGTCGCACTGGACCCCTTTGTCCTCAGCAAATCCAGGAATGCATTTGAAACGCTTCGAACATATCTTCAGATTTTACATGTTATAATCTCTCTTATTGTCATCTTCTTAGAATCAAGGTTCTTCTCTGCAATATTTCCAGAGGAGTTTCTGTCCCTTGTGGCATCTGCACTGCTTATCCACAGATATTTTTACGACAATCTTTGGGAAGGCGTGGAGAAGACCCATTTTTCTTTGTGTTCTTTTACTCTCGGAGTGCAATTCGTTTTCCTTGTAAAGGCTTGTTGTCTTTTCTATCACGTGGTTTGCTTACTTGAAAAGAATGCAGAGGGGCAACTAGGGTTTGTGAGCAAAAAACAATCAACAAAGGCTGAGGGTGGTAGGCAGACGGGCAGCGTCAAGTGGTTCAGTGACGAGAAGGGCTTTGGTTTCATTACTCCCGACGGCGGCGGCAACGATCTTTTCTTCCACCAATCCGGCGTGAGATCTGAAGGAGGTCGCGTGCTCGGTGAAGGCGAGAAAGTAGAGTTCATCGTGGAGGAAGGAAACGACGGCCGTACGAAGGCCGTCCACGTTTCTCGCCCAAATGGAGGCCCTATCCAAGGTCTCGGTGGTGCCGGAGGAGGAGGCCGCGGAGGCCGTCGTGGTGGTGGTGACGGAGGCTGCTACCGCTGCGGTGAGGCCGGTCACTTTGCTCGAGAGTGCACACAGAGCGGCGGAGGTGGCGGCAGAAATCGTTATGGCGGCAGCTATTATTGCTTCCAGTGCGGTGAGGAAGGTCACTTTGCTCGGGAATGCCATAACAGCAACTGGTGATCTGATCTGTCTCTCCATCTACTCAGAGAATGGCATTGTGAATCTTCATAAATCTCATCTTTATTTTATATTATTCTATCTCTCTTTTAATCATGCATCATGTTGTTGTGTCTGTGTATGGAAGGATCTAGCTTAACCGGTGTTATCCTCTTGCCTGTTTTTATTCTAAGAAGTGATTAGTTTGTGTTAAGGGAACTGCATTTCGGAAATATATACTTTTGTCTTATGCCTGGTTTTAAAAAAATGCAGAGGAAGAAGTCCTTAGGCTTAAGGAGACTGGTAAAGCTGGTAAAAATGACTGGAGTACGTAGTAATAATAAATTATTTTGATATTGAACTTCACTTGTTGATCTCATTTCAATTTTGTTTCGTTTGTTGTTTTTGATACAGTCAACATTCTTATTTAGACCGCAAAATTATTTTTTACTCTGCACCATCTTATTTCTTCTTCAAGTATTGTAATGGCCGTGGATGTAAGTCAACTAGTAGACAGAAAGTGTTAGACAAACTAAGTAGCTAGATGAACTTTGGAAAGGACACATTAAGGTTAGAGGAGTACCGTTAGTTGTAGACATTGGCATAGCCAGGCTGATATACTAGGCTGTCCGGTACGAGTATTTTTTGAACAATTTTTTAGGTGGTGTTTAGATCTGATTCTTAAAACTGTTTCTGCTCCTTCAAGGAGCAGAAGCAGAAGTTGGAGTGTTTAGTTAGAAGTGCAGAAGAAGTCTTGTGCCCTAATATACTCCTAAAATCTCTTTAATTTTTTAGGAGCTGAGGGATACCAGCTTCTGAAAACTGATTTTGATTCTAATTTCGCTTTGTTAAGAAGTTGAAGCAGAATCAGTTCCAAACATCCCCTTAGAATAATAATCAACAAATTTCTGAAATTTGGGGTGGATCGGGTCTTAGCATGGCCCCCTTGCCTTTGTCACTGGTTCGTTATGAAAAAATAACAATCACGAGAAGTCTTCACCGTTGATTTGAAGACCAGTCACCCATAAATAAAGTGACTATGAACCCGTTTGGTAATGCAGTGGCTGAATCCATTGATTTGTTGAAATTGATGATGTTCTGGATGAATCCGCTAAATTATGGAAAAATTACATTTAAAATATATTTTACTGATAAAATAAAGAAAAATTATAAGAAAATTGATAAAATGACTTTCTGTTAACTTTAGTCAATTCAGCCAAAAAGATAATTTCAATCTTACTTATTTTGATTATTAATTATCCAATGCGCAAAATCAAATGTCATTTGTTTGGTGAAAAAATGTTTGATAAGGTTGATAAGCCCAAAAATATACGAAGTAGTCACTAAATGGGGCCTATAAGTCCATTAGGATTGCCAAGCGAATAAGAACCCTAAAAATCGTAGAAAATACACTCCCGCTCATACGAGCTATCGAGACCCTTTTTGGACCACCTCTAATAAGGTTAGATAATGAGTAATGATAGGAGCTTCAAACTAGTTAAAAGAATCAACTAATGAGATAATGATTTATGAGTTTTGGTGATCTTTTTTTAATTTTTGGACTTTTAAAAAAATTAAATCTAAAGACCTTTTTAAATTCATAGATTTTCTTATGAATGAATTACATTTATTTACATAAACACATGTACTTCATATGAATTATATTTATCAATTTCATGGGAAACACAAGTTTAAACAAGAATTATGTAGCATTCATAAATCTAAACATTGTTCCTAAGAGGCCAACTTGGCATAAATTGGCAAGTAACAATTAAAAAATTAAGTGAAACAAATTTAATTCATCTAGTAGCGCAGAGCTCTACAAAAATAAATTAGATCTAAGTATTAAAGTTTATTTTTATCAGAAAACTCGAAATTGGGAGGATGGCCTGTAAACTTGATCTCGCTATGAATCATTCTTATATTACACTAGACAATGAGTAAGAAAGAAAAGTTTTGCACAACTATTATACTCATTGTTATATGCGGTACGAGCATAGACGCAATAAATAGAGTTTTTCTTTTTCTTTTTTCTTTTTTTTTAGCTTGTTAAAATTTGTTTACTTATTTACAGTTAAAAATTTATTAATTTGATATTATAATTTTATGTGTTAGTGATTAATGATCAAAGACGATAATAACTAAATATATATTTTTTAATTAATGATTAACAGGTAACATACAAGAATTGCACATTTGCACTATCAATCACTCAAAAAAAACTCTAACGAAGCGATAATATTGGATTAACGGTTCTTCAAATGGCTCCTTATCATCTTTCAAAGAATGGAACAAATCACACTCCTACTTTTTTCTTTGTAAGATGATAGATAAAAATCACTTTGTAATTTTTATTTAAGTTTATTTTGTGCATCAGTATTTATATAGAATCTCATTGATCAGATTTTATTTATCGTAAAATCATTATTAAAAAAATCATGTTTTAATTTGTAAACATTGCATATCGAGACACTACGCCAAAAATGGCCTTTTTCAACATATAAAAACAGTCGAAAATTGGGTTTTTCGACAGTTTTGGTCTGTCAAAGAGGGTGTCGAAAAAAAAGAGTCAAAAAATTATTCGACTGGTTTTACTTGTTGATATAGAACCATGAATAACGACTGCTTCAAACCGTCGTAGTTTATCAACATCACATAGCAATCAAAAACAGCTTCTAGTGTATAACATCATACTGGTACGTTTTAGTTCTAGTAATATGTATTTATATTTTATTTATTATGCACACCAATAATATACACAGTTGCAATAAAATCAAACAGAGCAAAAATAAAGTGATAATTTCAATTATCAATAAAAATATTCAATTGAAATCGAGTGGTCTTCAATACTTTGAACATCAAGATCCATTAATACACAATTACACATGGTCCAAATTCCACTTAACTAGTATTCGAGTAGTACCCAAATAGCATATCAAATACTTCAAACTAAAAAAACTAAAAGATCAATAGCGTTTCAAAATAGCATTGAACCACAATACGGCTTCAAACTTCTCATATCGCTCGTATATAGGTACTAACTACCATCCAAGATCTTATTGATAATGATACTATAAGCTTCATTTGGCAGAGCTTCCAAATTCGAGTGTCCATAAGCAATAACCTTTTTCAAGTTTTTGAAAAGCACGCCATTGAAGTAAGATCAGATTCACCTCTCTGCAATCATGAGACAGCATCACTCAGAAATTCATTTTAAGAAACTCAGCAATAAATTAGATCAGAACGTGCAGTAATTAATATTTTACTAATTTAAACGCATTGCACTGGAACTCTTTCTTGCAAAACAATACATTATGACCTGTATATCGTTCAACCAACGTCCACCCAGAAATATGTAAAATACAAATAAACAATGAATCCAAATCTGATACTTCGTATATAATATATTCATTGATTACAAAAGGAGGGAAAAAGTCACATAAGGTAGTAAGGGAGAAGGTTTAGAATGATTAGATATATCTGAAGTAAATCATATGCATGCAGTTCTGTTTACTGTTTAGAATAAAAAGTGGCTTTCTGGTCATCTAGTGATGAGCCAGAACAAATAAATGATACTTTGGAGCAGAACTAACAAATTTAACTTTGGATTAAAACTTTTAATTAGTATGTATCAAATCTAATTTGAATTAGAAAATTGCAATTACCGTGGCAGGGGTTTTGAATTTTAAAATCATATGCTATCATTCAATGTTTAAACAAGAGCAACATATTTTGGTTTTTGCAATGTTTACTTTTCTGGGAACCTGTTTCCGATATATTTCATGCATGGATTACTCATAGTTGCAATATTGATGAGGCATGATATGAAATTATTGACATAGACCTAACCGCAGTTGAGAGCTTCTCTGATCAGAGACCTACAAATGCTCATATTCATTGAATATCACGTACATCTTTTTTGTACCTAACAGAGCAAATCAGCATAGAACACAAATAATCTGTAAAAAACTATTACATGAAGTCAGTGTCAAGAACTATTACCTGAATTATCAGATGTGCTTCTATCACTCCCACTTGCATGTGCATTATTAAATTGATCCGCCATAAACTCAACTCCATGGAATGGTTTTCATCATCTACAATATATAGTTAAACTATACACCGTGTATCATAATAAAAATTTATGATTTTTGGAATAAAAATAGGTTTAAGAGAAAAATAATATCACACATTTATTACGAAAATCCTTAAAATAGGTTCACATAGAAGTTTCATACCTAATCCAAACACACAGCAACTACATTGAAGCTTTAATCTTTATCATGTTCTAAATTTCCAGCAAGCATTGATGTGCTCAATGAACTGTTGAATGTGGTTTCTTCAAAAGTAAAAGGATCTTGATAAGCGTCCACATCATGACTTAATCTTTTTGGAGATTCCAAAACCAAATGCCAATCATCCCTCGTTTCATCCTTGCAATAGAATACTTGAGTCGCTTCTGAAGCATGTATAAATGGTTCATCGTCATCACTTGAATTTCTTCTAAACCTTCCAAAGTTTACGAAAATCAAGTTTGTTTCTGGATCCACTACACATCCATTTACTTTATCCTCTATACGCACCCAATCACAGTAGAAGACAGATTGTCTAAAATCATAATAATTTAGCTCTAATATTTGTTTGACAATGCCATAGTAAGTAACTTCTTCTTCCACTAGATTCTTATCTTTAGCACTTGATCTAAAACTTGTAACAGCATTCATGGAAACCCCACTATTTTGTGTGCTTGAATTTAGTTCTGCATCAGCAGTGTAAAAAATGTAACCATTTACTGCATATGCTTTATATGCTAGAGCATCGAAGTCTGGACCATTGACAAGCCTCTTAAAATGAGTCATTTCCTCTTTCTCAAGTTGTTTTCTTAACCAAGGGATGTAGTTCAGAGTTTTCAGCTTTTGTTGTGTCCCTTTCACCCGTCTTGCAGTAAACTTATGGTCCTGAAGATATGCATGGTATTTCCTATGAATGAAATCAAATGATAATTAGTTATTAAATATTAGTTGACTGCATATTGTAAGTAAATGTCAACATACTCCTCCCACTCGGCATTTACAGGAGACTGCTTCAAGACCCATTTGCGTGCTTGTTCATACTGCAAACCAGAAAGTCTATATGCTTTTCCATTTGCATTAAAAGGATAAGGGCATTCATCTTCATTTTCAATGTATGTGCGTCCTACTCGATTATAGCTTTTACCTTTATCATTGGGTATGTACTCCATGCAATGTCTCATCGCTTCTTCTAAGATGTATTGCTCTGCAATAGATCCCTCCAAAAATGTCTTGTTTCTACCATATCTTTTGTAGGTCCTCATCATCCTACCCAAGTAACATTCAAACAACAAGAAAAACATCAGCTTTTGAGTCAAAAACACAGAATTCAAATGATATATAATCTATGTAAGGAAGTTATTGTTACCTCTCAAATTGGTACATCCATCTATATCTAACAGGCCCACAAAGTTGTGCCTCTTCAGCCAAGTGTATCACAACATGTGTCATCGAAACAAAAAAGGATGGTGGAAAATATGTTTCAAAGACACACAATGTCTCCACAATACACTTTTGCATGTGAGAAAGTTCTGCACGATTGATAACCTTTGAGCAGAGGACTTTGAAAAAATTTCCCAACTGTCGTATTGCAGCTTGCAAAGGTTTTTCCTTTTTAAATCCATACATTAGAAACACTGGTAGTAATCCTTGTATGAGAATATGATAATCATGTGACTTCAAGCCTTTTAATTGAAAATCTTGCAGACAAACTTTGTGCTTCCAATTCCCACTATACCCAATAGGAACCTTCAACTTACTTAGTGTCTTACAAATTAATTCTTTTTCTAGTAGAGATAAAGAAAAAGAAGCCTTGGGGTAGGTTTTCTTTTCATTTTCTTCTGTTGGCCATAATTTTCTTTTGATGTTCATAGCTTTAAGATCTTTACGAGCTTGCAAATGATCCTTAGACTTACCTTTTGTATCCATCGTTGTAGCAAAAAAGTTTTCTGCTATATTCTTTTCAACGTGCATCACATCCACATTATGTCGAAGTGGCAAAACCTATAATAAAACCACCAGAATAACTGTCAATACAAAACATAAAGAAGAAACAAATTTAGTACGGGAAAAACTGCTAACTTAAATACTCAAATTACCTTCCAATATGGCAAATTAAAAAAAATTGACCTCTTTGAACATTCTGAATTGACTTTAGTGGCTCGTTTTCTCTTTTGACCTGTCACCTTTCCAAATTCTGTGTGAATGGTTTCCATCTTTCGTAATATATCAGAACCAGTCAAACGCTTCGGTGCTTTTCTGTGTTCTTCATTCCCATTGAATTGAGTCTTTTGGCTTCTAAAAGGATGTGATTCTGGCAAGAACCTTCTATGGCCGAGGTAAGCGAATTTCTTTCCGTGCTTAAGCCATGTTGCATCTGTTCCCTCACCACAAACAGGACAACCATATCGTCCTGCAGTCCTACAGCCGGATAAATGAGCATAAGCAGGAAAATCATGGATGCACCACATCAACATTGCCTTCATGGTAAAGTTTGTCTTTGTGTAGGAATCATATATGACACATCCAGACCACAAATCACTCAATTCTGCAATCAATGGTTGCAGATAGACATCAATGTTATGACCAGGGCCATGAGGACCGAGAATCAGCATAGTTAACAAGGTGAATTCTTTGGTCATGCACAATGATGGAGGGAGATTATACAATACGACCATAACTGGCCAACAACTGTATGAGTTACTCATCCCAAAAGGATTAAAACCATCTGTCGCAAGTCCTAGACGGACATTACGCTTTTCAGAAGCAAACTCAGGCCATTCCTTATTCATGTTTACCCAAAAAGTAGAATCCTTTGGATGTCCCATACTTGTATCACTTACAATTGAATTGTCATGCCATATCATATTTTCAGCGATCCATGGTACATTATACAGACGTTTCAACCTCTCTTTGATTGGAAAATACCTGAGCTTCTTTTGTGGCAACCTTTTACCTATTGCTTTAGTACTTTCTACAGATTTCCATCTATTTTCATTACATTTTGGACAACTTTCTTTATCTGCATTTTCCCTCCAATAAAGTATGCAGTCGTTAGGGCATGCATCTATAATATCATAACTCATCCGGAAAGGCTTGACCATCTCCTTTGCACAATACAAGCTCTCTGGCAAATTGTTCTCCTTTGGCAAAATATTCTTTATAAACTGGAAAAGTTGAGTAAAAAGTGCCTCTGGACAGTTGTATCGTGCTTTCATGCTCAACAACTCTATTGTAGCTGACAATTTTGTATGTTGGCCCTCACATGAAGGATATAATGGTTTCATTGCATCTTCTAACTTCCTCTCATAATTAGCATCCACAGGTGAATCAAGTAATCCATCTGGAAGAATTGTGTCATTTTCTTGGATTGGATCATTAAGACAAGCATCAATGTCATTAGGTTCTACACGCCCTAGTGTTTCCCAAAACAAGTCTGAAATTCTTGGAGATGAACCTTTATTATGGTTGCTTGATGGGGATGATGAGATAGGAGTTCGAACATTGGGTCTACTTCTACGAAGTGGTTCGCCATGATTGAACCATGTTCGGTATGACAGATCTATTCCTTCAGAAACCAAATGCTCAGAAATAACATTTAGATTATTCTTCTTTTTATTAAGACATTTCTTGCAAGGACAACAATACCAATCATCGCCACCTAACTTCTGTTTTGTAAACTGGAGGAATGATGCAACCCCTAACAAGTATTTTTCAGATAAAGTATCTGCATCCATCCATTCTTTACTTGGACAAGTAGATGACATCTGTTTACAAAATGTCAAATCTTATAAGATTTAAAATAAAGTAAAACTGAAGTCAAGTATTAAAATAGTAAAAAAGTAGCTATCTACTGATCAAGGATTTAGATTGAAATAAAAACTTGTAACTCACTTGTTACATACTACGTATTTAAACTATAACAAGTTAGTGACTTTCATTTAGATTAAAATTAAAATAGTTACCGAATTAATACAGCTAGTTATAAAAAATAGTTACAAATTGAATAAAACTAAAGTTACTAATTTAAGAAAACTGAGTTAAGATGAAGCCTAAAGTTCCAATGGCTACTGACTTAATACGTTTTGTCTCTGGGAGTTTAATCTTTAAAGTTTATTGGTGGCTTGGAGTTTCAAAGTTTAAAATGTGTTCTGCAGCTCCAGTTTTCCAGTATAGATCAACTATCTTTGGGAGCTAATATTATACACAGTGATAGTCCATTTCCATTTCATATGTTTAATAATCTAATCTCTATGTATTTTAGGTACAAATAAATGTAATTCCTACAAATATATATGCCAATGTCTCCAGAAAATTTCGTAATAGTTTAATCCCAAAACAAAAGTACAACATATTTTCATAGTATAAATCACAAATCTGGAAAGTATTCACTTCACAAGTGTATTAGTACTTTTATCAAACAGTTAGAATGCATAATCAAAACCAAATACATAGGCAAAGAAATTAATCTAAGATTTAAAGACATTCAAATCTAGATATTACCAACGCAACTTAGAAGACCTAGATTTAGACTAAATAGTTTGGATTTGAACTGATGTGCTATAGAAAAAACAGTATTTCCATCTTTTACAGTCGAACAAAACAAAAAACAAGCAACGTATAAATCAGATTTTGGGACTCTCATACCTAGCTGTGTTGTACACGGGTTGTCGTTCTTCTTTCTTTCTCTTCTTTTTGGTATTGCCGGTGAACCAGATAGCCGCATCGGTCACTTGAATTTCTCTAGACGAGCTATAGAGCAGTTCATGAATTTAGGTATTAGTGAAAGAATGTGAGAGCCGAAAGAACTGAAAGAAAGTGAGAGCGGAAAGAGGAACTTTGGTTTCCATTTGGCGGGCAGAGAGAGTTTGGAGCGAAACTTTAGTTTTCGTTCTGAAATTTTTGTTTTCGCCTAAAATGTGATGTTAGATGCCTTTCGACGCATTTTGTCAGTCAAAGATAGATCGACTATTTTTACTAGTCAATTTCAAAAAGGAAGAAGTGTCAATAATAAGCCGTTTTGGCGTAGTGAGAACATTGTCATACTCACCCCTTGACTCAATATTAGCCGATTCTGGTATGATACAAGAATCGGATTCAAAATCTTTGGGGATATGAAAACACAATTGTAGAAAATTGATGTACTAAGCAATCTTGAATTAAAAACCTACAACAATCCATCGTTGTTTTAAAAGTCCATAAAAAAAAAAAATTAAAGTTGAATATACCTAATGTTTTTAGACTTTTGAAAATATACATACAACAAATCTAAACTTTTAAAATAATAAACTTTTTATAAATTGTCATTAATTCTTAATACAATCAATAAGTCTTGGGTTAATGATGTCAAGCATGTCATTTTGAGCTGATTTTGTTCGAGGCACTACCACCATATGGAGAAGTCTTTCATAGAAATTTGAGAAATAGAAAATTAATAATCCCACCTTTGATAAGGCTCCATAGCTAGAATAAGATAGACTTTTCAAAATATGAGTAAATAGAGTTTGAAATTTCAAATAAGGACCATTATGTTTTTAACCCTGAAATAGGACTAACATGAAAATATTTATTGTCATCTTGTAGGTGTGACACCGCACCCAAACGTCCTTGAAATTCAATTTAAAATTAAAAATTTATGTATTAAACTTTCTATTGTCGAACAAGTGCAAAACGATTAATGATTCGTGTAATGCGTATTTGATTATTTTACCGTTTGATCTGAGCTCGTATATTAATAATGGGCCTTCAAATACTTATTTGGGCTATCTAAATAAATATAAGAGCCCAAATTATCTAAATAATGATACATAACCTTTCGATACAAACTAAGGAAGGTTGGGCGGCCCAAACATCATTTTGGGCCCAACGTGCTAAAAACAGTAAGTATTCAAGAGTGGCGCCCTAAGCCCATTTGGGGATAACCCACATGGCTAGTAGTCCAATAATATGAATGATAATGTCAAAATAAGTGATAGGATGATTAGGGAAGAATACAAACACCTATGGTCTCATCTTTGACTTTATTGAACTAAAAAATGGGAGTAGGTTTTTCTTCTACAATATTCATCATGTAAATTATTGGGATGATACTACACATATTGGAGATCAATAATATGATGTAGGGAGTTGACTTGGTCTATATAAATTACAATGAGTACAAAAAGACATCTCATGACAAAGATAAAACAATAGGATTCATCTTTCCATTTTTGGAAGTATTGGTAGATATTTTGGACCCCAAATTGATTGGGATCGAGTGGGAACCATTCCACATGACTTGAGTACCTGCAAGACAAAGGAAAAGAGGTGAGATGACGAAATGGGGCGGACTCTTGACTCATATACTCAAAAACTCCAAGAGAAAATAAAAGGGGGAGGTCCACCCCAGATTTCATTACAAACCAAATATCTCTCATGTTCTCTTGTAAGCTACATGCCCTATTATCATGATTGATGAGCTCTAGACACCTCCACCGCCCCTCATACGAACCCCAAAATATAAGAGAGCAAAAAGGATCCACACAACTCAAGAGAGAGGGAAAGAAGAGAGCTTTCCGCAGGTTCGTTCTTCAGTACGTAGTGTTGATTGTTTGATCCATAACTTGAGCTTCACTCGTCCAAATAAGTCGTATAAGATACCAAATGAAAGCTCTCAAGACGAGGAATCCGTGAAGGTCTGTTTTTCATAAAACGGAGTAGTGGAAGACTTTCAAATCATCGAAGGAAACCCCAATCTCGCAGAAACGATTTTACCTCTTGAAAGTGAGTTTGAACCCAAACCCTTCCTTTTCATTTTCCATATGATATGAACGGTTTGTGGAACTATTATACACTATTCCAAGGGTATAATATGTCCTTATAAGATTATTTTATTGATGTAAAGGTTAGATACTAACCTAGAGAAAACCTTGGAAAAACTAGGAAACGAGTTCGCCGGAAAACATCCATTCTAGAGGTTATTTTTGTATCAACGGTTAGGGGTTGAGCTAGCACTTTGAGGAGGCTGTTTAACACTCATTTTTAAGCAAGGAATCAGTTCTTAATCCACCTTGTCCGAAGCTTGGGTCATTGGATCAAGAAGGAAAAGTTTAAAGCTCAATTAAGGTGAGGATCGACATCTAATTGCTTACAACTTGTAGGTAATTTGATGAAATATTGATATAGTTGCCAAAGAATGAAATTGGAAATGATTTGAGGTTGTATGAATAATATAAGATTAAATGAGTTATAAATGAACTATTTTATGAAATAGGCATTTTACTCATGTATGAAATATGTGGATACATAAATGAATATTTATGTATTGAGATTGAATACTTAAGTTGCTGCTACATAATTATAAATATGTAGAGAATTACAAAATGAGAATATTTGTATGATAACAATAATCTTAATAGTATTGAAATACTAGTTAGTGATTATTGGAAATTGTTGATAGAATTGATCCTAGGGATTGGATTGTATGCAATGCACTTGAATATACTTCAAGTGTATATAATGACTTAGTATGAAGCTAAGGTTAAGTTCTGGGCAGTCTTTAAGGATGACCCAAGGTAGTTTATCGATATGTCAATTCTAGGCATAGGTTTGCTTAGGATCGGAATTGGACTTTAGTGCATGGTGATGTAATAGAGCCGAGCTATAGGATGCATGATAAAGTGGTAGACTTGTAGTCTATGTATTGTATAACTAGAGTCGAGCTCTAGGGCTTGCACGGTGATGTGATAGAGCCGAGCTCTAGAATGCAAGGTAAGGAAATTGACCCAAGTGACATGAATTGTATGGTGATGTGATAGAGCCGAGCTCTAGAATACAATGTCATGTATTAGGGTTGGACTCTATGAGTTGTCGTGGCGTATAGTCACGGGGAATGTGAATGGTGATTTCTAAATTAACATGGGTCCACAGGCCGACTACTTGACTTTTATATAAAGTAAGTATATTTTCAAACGGGGTAACTTAGGGTTACAACCATATTATATTATCACCCTATTTGAGGGTCTTGTGTTTGAAATACTTGTTGTGTATTTATTAGATGTCATCCACACCAGTACTTTAATTTATAGCCCTATAGAGTACTGACCCCTTCGGGGGCGTCCCACCACCATTTCAGGTTGAGTCTAGAGCTTGCATCCTGTGCTCGTTGATTGAGTGATTCCCCGGAGAGAAGACTTGGTTCGTGCTTCCTCCATTTTGTTTAAAACATTAATAAATTTGCTCATGGATACTTTAATTAGAGCCTGTGCGCTCGTGTTTTCTCTATGTGGCATTTGATTTCAAACTATGTTTTCGCTGCGTATTGAATTGTTTATTATGTATGTTTATGGATGACTTATGTCTGAATGATATTCATGACGCCTTGTATAATATGGATGTGGTTGACTATGGTTGACTATTCGTGTTATACAGCGGGTTGTTGACGTGTCCCGGTAGGTCCGGGGCGTGACAGTAGGCATGATTGCCAAATAGTTGTAGTACAGTGTATGTAGCATGACAGTATTTATTATAATTAATGACAGTATTTTTCAATATGGCAGTATTTTTCATGCATGACAATAATTAACAACTCCTATTTCGGGAAGAAAAACATAGTAGTCTTATTTTGGAATCTCAATCCTTATTTACTCCTATTTAATGCAATTTCCCCTAGAATAATCTCATCTAATTGTAATCTATAATAATCCCACATATACACGCCAAGTGTATTCAAAGTTTACAAATAGGGGAATTTTGAGTTTATAACCTATGATATTGGTCTTTGCATCTCGTTTTCAAAACTTTTAGACTTTGCACCATATCTACAACATTTTGTGAAGAGAATTTCCTAAATGGGGTGTAAAGGCAACAACATTTTAGGGAAAATAGGGTGCAAAGTCTAAGAGTTTTGAAAATGAGGTACAAATATTCCTTACAAATATACTCTATTAGTCTCATTTTCCTAAAAACATATTCTTTTCTGAATTCATCTAACTTTTTTATTTTTCTCTTTATAATTTTTTTTTTTTGAAAATTTGCTCTTTATCATTTATTCTATCATTTTATCATTTACTTTATTGAGGAAGCGATCCAACTCAGCTGGTCGCCAACTCACTCTCCCTTACCGGATTTCTCGGGTTCGAAACTCAATGGAGTAGTGAGTTTCAGTTCTGATTACTCCAGACCCCCTCAGACGCCCCTTGGTGTAAACAAAATAAAAATAAAATAAAAAAAGAAATCACCATATATATAGTGCTTACTTTTTTAACCTTATATATTGCAAAAGAATCACTTTATTCTTTATTTTTCTATAAGTATGTCTCAAATTAACTCACATACTCCGTATATCCAGGGCCGTATATGAGAGCGTGCAAGAAGTGCTACCGCACAAGGGCTCTCGATTTCAGAAGGTCCAAAATTTTAAATATAATCTATACTTCGTATAATATAATAAATCTTTATTTATTTGATAAAAAATTCCTATCTTAGTACTTCTTTAAATACAATCATTAAATAGTAATATTTATATGTAATTAAAATGCAATTGTTAATTACATGTGTGTAATTCTTTATTTCATCAGGCCTAATTACAGTTTGGAACGAACTTGTAACTACTTTTTTTTCATACTTTGTCATTACTTTACTTTTCTTAATATATTCTCTTTTCTACTTTTTCATTTATTTTACACCTCTATACTACACCTACTATATTCTTCTTAAAACCTACAAAAAATCTAAGGAGACTATTATTTAAAACCGATGGAAGTATAAATATGTTTTATACTTGAGCCTCATATTCAATTTTGCACAGGGCCTTCTACATGTCAGGGCCGGCCCTGCGTATATCTTACATGAGATAGTTTAATAGTATCGTACTCCCTCCGTCCCAGAATCAACTTCGGTTTTGACTGGGCACGGGGATTAAGATAGTGGGAAATGTGTGGTGGAGATTTGTGCAGATGAGAGAGAAATGTGTAAGAATGGTTGTGACCCACAAATCCTTTGCCAAAAAGGGAAAGATGAGATAAATTTGAGACAGACCGAAAAGGAAAGAATGAAGATAATTTGGGACGGATTATAACTTGTGTCAACTTATACCATTTTTACACCCGAAGAACATCAAACTGTTAGCTCAGAGCTGTACTGCAGTAGGAACAAAGAATTAGATTCGGCATGCATCATATTCGAATATTCGATCTTCTTTGGGCCGGGATGGATAACAATCTAACGGCCAAGAATGCATGACTCTTTTTAATTTAACACCCTTTGATCCAATTGGATTTATCAATCTTTTCTCATAAATTCTTTTGTTCTTAGAACCCTGTCATCATTCATTCTTCTCACTGCTAACTGCTTCGGGTTTGTCTTTCTTCTCTGCGCTCTGTTTATAATTATTTATTATTATTAATATTATTATTATCAGTCCATTACTTTAATAATGCTTTGGTCCTGCTTTTTAAATTATACAGAAATTTTAGTAGAGTATGCATGCTCCATAATAACTAGCAAGTTGATAACGTGAATACATCAATTTTATATAGACCTCATTGTTATAAAATTAATACATGTAATACTTTACTAATTAAATTTATTGAGCATGTTAACTAACATGTTAACATGCTCAATAAATTTAATTATTATAAATAAGATAGAATTGCTCCATAGTGTAATACGGAAGGCTTTGAGGCTGAGGATCTATATATACTTTGTTTAAGTGTAGTCCGTTGTACATAGTATGTTACTAAAGTTCACATGTTACTAAGTTGATGGAAAAAGGATGTCAGAATTCCTAAAGGAGAGGTTTCCTGTTTGATTCTGAGCAAAGGCTTGGACCATAACTTACTACTCTTCCATTTTAGTCTCATGTGAATGTCTCATCGGTTCTAAGGCACTCAGAGATGAGTTGTGTCCCCTTTTTAAGGGAGAATTTGACTTTGCGGTCCATATTTCGGTTAATATTTGATTTGCACTCTATTTTCAAAATCTTTAATTTATGCATCCCAACTAATTATAAAATTATATGATTTGCACCTCAATATGAGCGGTAAAGTCAAATTCCGAATACTACGAGAAATAAGCCGGAGGTTTATAGCCCGTTTGGTAGCACCAAAATCGGCTGTTTTGGCTGATTCTGCTGAAATCTATGATATTCTGGCTGGAGTGGCTGTTTTGGCTGATTCTGCTAATTTAAGAAAAAAATATTTTAAAAATATATTTTATTAATAAATTAAAGAAAAAATTATATGTAAAAATAGCTAAAATGGTCATCTACAGTAACTTCAGCCAATACAGCCAGAAAATAACTCCAACCTTACTTTTTCGGCTTATTACACAATTCAGCGCGCGAAAGTAAAAGTTACGTGTTTGGTGAAAAAGCTGGCTGATAAGCCTGATAAGCCGAAAACAGAGTTTTCCAAACGGGCTCTTAATTAAGTTTAGATCAAATTTGTGGGATGGTACAGCACAGATGGAGGTGATGGTTAACCGTGATTTGCTAACATGTGCCTCCCATTCACGCCCTCATCTCCTTTCCGCCTTCTTCACGCGCCCCCGCCGCCCTGGCTGTGCCACTCAGGTATTTAGACCAGCCTTCTTACTCTTTGAAGAGACTGACTCAAATAGTCAAATTGGATTTTACAAAAGTGATACTACCTCTGTCCCACTATGGCTATGTTTGGCGGGCATAAGTCCCTGACTTCTAGCTTTTGTACTGTTCAAAAAGTTCCTAAAAGCTTCTAATTGTGTGTTTGGCATGACAATATTTAAGAGCTTTTCAAAAATTAAAAGATCTTTTTTGAGATGCTACCGGGAGTAGCATCTAAGAAAAACTAGTGACTTTTAGTATTAATTAATCCTAACAGCTTGTATACCAAATCGAACTAAATCAAACAGTCAGCTTTTCATCAAACAGCTACCACCTTTTATTTTTAAGATCTTTTCAGTCACTAAAAGCTAACAGCTATTAAAAAGCTCACAAAAGTATCTTTTCAGCTAGTTGTACCAAACATGCCCTATGTTTGGGATAAAGAGGTGTGACACAACTTTTAAGAAATAATCGAATTGTGTGATTGGTATTGACTATTGAATTCATAAAGTGTGAAAAAAAGTAAGAATGAATTGTAATCATTCAAATATTATCAAATATGGTATGGGACAAACTTAATAGGACGGACGAAAAAAGATAAAACGTGACAAAATTAGGGGGACGGAGGGAGTACGTACTTGATCTGTAGTTAGACTAGTATATACGTAGTATTAAAGCCATCAGACGTTTGAGTGGGAGAGATATACTACGTTCGTCCCAAATTGATTTACAAATTTGACTTTTTTTGTCAAACAATTTCATTTTATTCACTTAATTAGAATGTCGATTTTTAATCATATTTTAATTTAGAGTTTGCAACTTTAAAGCTATTTTAATTTTCAAATTAGTTCACGAAATTTCGGACTTCTCTCTAGGGTTTCGCAGCCCTTAGAGCTTTTTTTCCGTCTTCGGTTATACGAAGGACGACTAAATTTCTCCTCGGCGATCTTCATCCACGGAAGTCCGCTTCCGCTATTTGGTGGAGTCGAGCGAGGTTTCGTTGTTACTTCGGTCTTGATTGCTGACCGTGAGGTTGGGCGAGAGCAGAGAAGCATTTTTTCTCTTGTCGAGTGCGGGACGAAGAGTGTTGCAAGGACTTCGAGTAGGCCAGATTGCGTTCGACAATGGAGGATCAATTAGCATGGTACGGTGGAACGACCTCCTCCTGAACCACCACCATGGGTTGTAAGAGGTGCAGGAGTCCGTGAAAGTTTTCCTAGTAATTTTTACGGAGTATCTGTTTGTCATTTGTTTTCTTGTGTCCATCTTTGTTGTTGGTTTTGACAGTTTGTTTGAGTTTTTAGTCTCTCTTTATGTCATTGGGTATGGTTGGATCTATGGGAACAGGTTTGGTTGTGTCAAGCCCACTGCATGGTTAGCGATTCGTGTTGCTCTTTCAGGGGTGACCGTTTCAAAGTCTGATCATAGGGTTTACCGTCGTAGTTTTTGGAGTTTAGTTGGTGTCAGGTTTATTTTCCTTTTGTTTGATGTAATGATCCTGAATTTTTTGATATGAATAGAGACATGTTTTAATGATCAAAACTTTAAAGCTATTTTAATGTAATTTATGAATATGTAAATATTATTTATTAAAAATTGAACTAATTATTGATAGAGATGATTGACTTTTATTATTGGTTAACTTTGAAAACAATTTGGGACGAGAGGGTATGCTATTCCAAGTCAAAAAAACAGTGATAAACAGTTAAATTGATCGATTTTCCAAAGTAAGAATATATTTGTATGATACTCCGTATTTTTTAGTATACATAGAAACTTAAGTTACGGATATATTGAATATTGTAGAAGGATGCATTTGATTCTTTTCCCAACATTTATATCTCAAAGATTAACAAATGTGCTCTCAATCACGTTATAAATATTTTTCATCTAAAAGATCTCTGTATCTAGCATCCTCAATCAATTTAAGAGCATGTTTGGCAGACATAAGTCTTGCCTTCTAGCTTTTGTACTGTTCAAAAAGTCTCTAAAAGCTTCTAGTTGTATGTTTGGCATAATAATTTTCAAGAGTTTTCCAAAATTAGATCTTTTTTGAGATACTATCAGGAAACCGGTTACTTACCGACCGAAAGGGCTTAATTGAACGTTTTTTAATAGTTTGAGGACTTAATTGAGTGTTTGTAAAGTACGAGAGCCTAATCGACTTTTTCGGTATAGTACGGGGGCTTATTTGATAGTTTTCCCTTTTTTTATCAAACACTATCAACTTTTATTACTAATCACTTTTTTCATAACACTTCAAAACTGCTTTTTTTAAGCAGAAGCTATGGTTGCAAACACTCCCTTAGCATCATTCCTTTGTGTTTTCTTTTGCAAAGAATGAACTATTAATGAGAACATTGAGAAGAGGGAAGAAGTTAGTACAGAATATTTAAATACTTGGATGTCAATCTTTTTTGTGGTCCCATTTCATCACTAGACTAGATGTGCATTCGACCATTCAGTTAACCTTAACCCCATAAGTAGAGTCAATAAACTACTACGTAATTTACTAGCCAGTGATAATCCATGTTGTGTGTAGGCTTGGCCCGGGTTCGATCTGACCGACCAGTGAACCGGCCCGGCCCGGTACTGTTTGGGACCGGCCCGGTGAACCGGGACCGATTCCAAGCCTAGGACCAGCCCGGGGTGTTAGGGCGGGGCGGGTACAGGTCACCCCATTCTTTGGAACCGACCGGCTGGGTCGGGCCTAGTTTGGGTCTTTTTTTAATTTTTTTGTTTTTCCCGGGTTGGACTGGGTGTTTTGGAGTGTTTTGGGGGTGAGGAGGGGGTCGGGAGTTAATCAGAAAAGCCAAATATATATAGGGGTGGGGTCACGTACAAACTAGTCTTCTCATGCTAACCTACAAACTGTCACAAACTATACATCTTTACATTATTTGTACTGCATATTGAAGTTCAAAGTGATGCATATTATTTGTACTTCATATTAAAGTTCAAAGTGTTGCATATTATTTGTATTGCATATTGAAATTCAGTGTGCATCTTTACATTATTTGTATTGCATATTGAAGTGCAAAGTGTTGCATGTTATTGAGTTTATAGGTTAGTATTTTAAGCATGATTTGTATTTGATCTCTTATTTATATATATATATATATATAAACCGGCCCGAGATCGGACCGGCCCGGACCCGGTGGAAACTCGGGCCGGTTCCGGGCCTTCACCCAATATTAAAAAGCCCGGTTCGGGACCGGCCCGGAACCGGTCCATACCTAATTGTGTGGACGAATAGCATTACCAATAGCAGGTTTTGGAACACATTTGATGCAATATGGCACTGAGCCAATTCTAAATGAAAGGCCAACTCAATGATCACTTCCAGAACCCAATCGGATCAAAAGTGCACATGGATGAAACCAAATGCAAGGAGGTAGATGCCCAACCCTGTGAAGGTGAGGATTGGGTTGACGCATGCATTGATGGGAATGATGGCAATGACAGAGGAGAAGATCCGAAAAACAGCCCTAATGAGAATGATAAAAACGCTCCTGGAGGGACAAGAGGAGAGAGTGATAGTACGGGTCATGGCAATAGCAAAGAATATGGAGAGGATGAAGAAGAGGGTGATGATGGAACCAACGAAGGTCACACTCATAACAACAATGATGACAAAGATGACGATGAAGATAGCGATGAATACTTTAACAATCACAATGATAGTGAAGATGAGGAGGAAGAAGATGTTGATGGTAGAGGTGAAGATGAGGATGAAGCTGCGTACCAAAATAATCAAGATGGTCAAGGCCCTGAAACAACAGACAAAGAGGGTGATGAAGATGACGAAGCTCCCCAGCCTCCAAAGAAGAGGAAAGTGTGAAGCAAGACCCCCCTGACTGACTTCAATTTACTTTCTAATCATAACGTGCAAGACAATTATGAATTTCTAATAGATGTCCAAGTTTCTATATTTCATTTCATTTAAAAGGCTTTGATTGGTTAGCCAATTGAGCAAACAATCACATGTCAGCATAATTCATTGCACAACCTTTAAGAACTCCACTGCTTTTTCGTATGTATATGACTCTTCCTATTTTTATTTTTTGGATTCATTAGGTAATTTGATATTTTGGCCAATCTTTTTCCAAATTCCAACTAGAGCATAAATCCAACGGAAAAACCAGAGAAGCATAAGCAATATCCAGAGAGCCACATTCATATTTATGCTATCACATCATGAATCCCAAAGAAACACCAAAGTAACATTAAAGAAAAGAGAGAGAAAAGAAGATACATTGGATTGGAAGGAGATATCCTATCACTAAATATACTCCATACCAGAACCTATATTTACAGGGGCAGGGGTGTTGTAGGTTTGGGGCACTGAAGAAAATCACTTTTTTGTCGCATCAATAAACATGGCTCGAGTCCAATGCTCAACATCTTCAGTTTGTGAAGGTGGAGGGGGGAAGGTGGGATGCTCAATTAAGTCCCAACCTTCCAGCATTACACTTCCATTCTTTCCTAGCTCTGATGTTTCAGTCACGTACAGCACACTGGTTGTTGTAGAGCTTGGAGTATTATTATGGTCATATGTGTTTCTCTGCAAGAATAATTAACTAATAAGTTAGAACACAAAATCAATACATCTTTCGTACAATGTACATTAATGAGATAGTTTTGACTGATATAGAGGATGAAAAATATGCAAAAGTGTGTGGATGAAAAATATGCAAAAGTAGAGAAATAACATGAAGCACATAATAATGCTTTAGTTAGATGAAATGAGGGATCATCTTGGGACAGACCGAAAAGGAAAGTGTTAACATGATTCAAGGAAGTAGTTATTATTAGCATCTAATGGAAAAAAGATCATCATTGTTCAACACCATGTCCGTCCAAGTAGCAAAATTGCATAGCCTACAAGTAGCAAAATTGCATAGCCTACAGTGCAGATAATTCTGTAAGAATTATGTGTTTAATAATGGTAAAACTCATGGAAAAATAATAAGGAACCAATGCTAGGGTATGTTTGGATCCCTGAATATGAGAGACAAGGTAAAAAAAATGGAAGGAAAGCTACTTGTATTTTGCTTTAACTTGGAGTACATAAAATGAATTGTAATTTGTTTAAAAGAGTAATATTTATGTTGGGAAAATAACTTTAAATAATACAAATTGTCTTCCATGAACTAAGAATAATACGTACTTTGGAAATAACTTGTAATAATAGCAACTATTTAAATATAGACCAAAAGTGATATAGAGCATTTTTTCACCACAAATTTAGTCATTTAATTCACCAAAAACTAATATTAAAATATCAAATACGTGACTGTATTTCTGGATATCATTTATTTGATGGTTTGCTATTAGTTTTCGATGTCTTAAATGATTCGATTACATGTTAAAAAGTGATTTCACATTATTTTTGTTTTACATTTGAATAGTTGGTATTATTAAAAATCGTTTTCAAAGTATGTATTATTATTGATTGATGAGTTATAGTTGGTTTATTTAAAGTTATTTTCCCTTTATATGTTTGGATTTCTTGATTTTTAATTATTTATGAAATAAAATAAATGAATGAGATGAGATTGAAGAAATATCCAAAACAAATTTAGAGTTTGAACCTATCTTTTTCCCCCAAGTCTCCATTCCTTCAAATTTTACTCATTATTTTCCTCCGAATATATCTGTTCACTAGTACTTTCCGCCTTTCCGGGTTACAAATGGACCCTTGTAGTGCTTGGGTGTGTATGTACCGAGACAAGTTTCTTTAATATGAACAAAAAATGGAGGAAATGGAATATCGCCAGCTGAAATATAGTAATACTACACAGGTGATTTGAAACAAAAGCAACATTAGTTCATGGAATATTTGTATACAAGCAGGCAACTTGCAAGGGCTGGCAGCTTAGACTACTCATGAAATGCACAAAAATATTAACCATGATGTGGTGAAGATTCAGGATGCACTGTGAAATAGAAATGTGTTATAAAGAAGGATTAGTCATTATAGACAGAAGCTGTGACGAGGCATCAAAGTGCACTTGAATCTTTATGTGTGTCTTCCAACCAACAAAGTACCTACTCCATCCACTTTGAAAATGAGGGAGAGAGCAGACATTCACTTGGCAGTAAAGTAGTAAACATTAATAAAGAAAGCCCAGTTAAGTGAGAGAGCTAATACTTTCATACCAATTCTCAAGAGAGTAATTCAAAAACTAATGCAGCACAATCAAATAGAGTGTGAAAAATCATTTTTACAAAGACCGCGAATGAGAAATCTTACTTGTAATGGCAATGTATGCAGACTTTCCATAAAAGTGCTTGAGGAAATCAGTGAATTTACATCCCATACAGATTTGCTGAATTGTTGGACTTGCTTAGATGACCTGCATAACAAAATCAATTCTATTCTCACGACAGCCTCAGAGATAGTAGGTAGATGTAGTGAGGAAAAATGATAGACATCCAGCTCAGCAATCTATTAAATACTTTGATAAGGTGTATAAAAGGAAAAAGGGTGGGGTAGTTAGTAATTAGCTAACTAGTGGGCTTGGTCTTTTATCCCTGCGTGGATAAGTTACTATAAATAGTAAGCTAATAAGCTGTTGGGAGGTAGGTTGTAATTCGGGAAGTAAAAGACTTAGGAGACTGGGCCTCTCGAATTAGCCCCTGATCATTGTATCCCCTGTGATCTGTTCAGTTGAAAAATAAATTTCTATTTCTCTCTTTTGTTTTTAGATCTGTGCTATTGAGATTGTTGAGTGCAGGTTATCATTAATCTATCAATGGTATCAGAGCAGTAGCTCCTGGTGGTTGGATCTACTGTGCGACGTCCAAAACAATCTCCTCGTTGGGAAGTGGATGGTACGAACAAGAGCAAAAATGGATTTGCGAATGGATTCGATGGAGAGGAAAATAAATGAGGTGCAATCTGAGTCCAAGGAAGAGAATCGAATCCTGAGAGACGAACTGCGTTCAGCAATGGAAGCATTAGCGACAAGCGTGACAGCATCCATCGCTGAATTGCGCGATCAGTCCAGATCCAGAGCGAGGTCGCGATCTCCTCCGCGGCATCATGTGCGATCTTCCAACAGTCCAACGACCTCTGGAGGTAACCCTATTAATCCGATCAACTCCCGCATCCAACTTCACAGAGAGCCTGAGATCCATAATCGATTTACTATCCAAACTGGAAGAAAAATCGATTTACCAATTTTTACTGGCGATAGTGCTTATAACTGGATAGTGAGAATGGAGAGGTACTTCCGATTGAACCATATCACTGAGGAAGAACAGGTTGAAGCAGCTGTAGTCGCTATGGAGGATAGGGCTATAAACTGGTTCATATGGTGGGAGCATCAAACTGAAAGGAGAAATTGGGAGAATCTGAAGGCATCTATTATACGCAGGTTTCAGCCGGATTTAATACAGAATCCCTATGGACCTATGCTAAGCTTAAAGCAATCTGGGACAGTCAAGGACTTCAGGGATGAATTTGAAATGGTGATAGCTCCTCAAATTAATGTGGACATGGGTATTCTGAGAGGCATCTTTATCAATGGCCTGAAGGATGAGATAAAAGCTGAATTGAAATTGCACAATTCTAATTCCTTAGCAGAAGTTATGGATAGGGCTTTATTGGTTGAAAGTAGGAATGAAGCCATGTACTTCAGCAGGAAGGAAGAGGATAGGTCTGCAGGGAAGGAGAAAGGACCTGTAGCTGCAAAATCTCAGACTTGGGTAGATGGATTTAAGTCAAAAGTAGGAAACCCTTGGGCCAATAATGCTGGGAAGAGTACTACTGAAACTAAGAGCACTCCTACTTGGTCTAATTCCATGGGCAAGAAAATAACTGAAGTACAACCCTCAGGTATCAAAAGGTTGGGGCCACAATTATCTCAGGAAGAGTACCAGGACCGGAGCAGGAGAGGACTATGCTTCAAGTGTGGTGATAAATGGAGTAAGGAACACACCTGCAAGATGAGGAACTACAAGTTAATATTAGTTGAAGATTCAGAAGAAGAAGGGGAACCTGGAGAGGCAGAAGTATTATTCTCAGCAGAAGAAGAGATTAACATGGAGGCTAAATCCATGCAAGTTTCTATAATGAGCAAGGAGGGGATACCTTCAATGAGGGCATTCAAGGTGCAAGGAATTCTGAAATGGGCTAATGGGGAAAAACAAGTTGAAGTATTGATTGATAGTGGGGCATCACACAATTTCATCTCTCAGAAATTGGTAGAACAATTTCATTTACCTTACCACTCTATTCCAGGTTACAATGTTCAGATTGGCAATGGTGACAAGGTCTTCAATAAGGGCAGATGTGATGACTTGATCTTGAGTATGCAAGGAACTCTCATCCAACAACACTTTTACATGCTGGAATTAGGGGGAACTGATTTGGTTCTAGGCATGGAATGGCTGACGAGTTTAGGGGATGTTGAAATAAATTTCCAGAAGCTTAGCATCAAGTGGCAACAACTGGGGGTAAGGAAGTCCATTCAAGGGGATCCTGCACTAAATTCTATTGAGATATCCTTGGAGACTATGATACAAGTCATAAAAGATGCGGGTGATGGGTATATGGTGTTCTGTGAAGGCAGCATAGTAGAGGAGAAAGGGGATCAACATTGGGAAGGAATCCTAGCAGAATTCCCTGAGGTGACCAACCCCATACAAGGTTTACCTCCCACTAGAACATGTGACCATGCTATCAAAATCAAAGAAGGGGCAGAGATACCTAATATAAGGCCTTACAGATATCCTAGTATCAAAAGAATGAGATTGAAAGGATCATTAAGGAAATGCTACAAGCTGGGATCATTCAACACAGTAACAGCCCTTACAGCAGCCCCATATTGTTAGCTAAGAAGAAAGATGGGGGATGGAGGTTTTGCGGGGATTACAGGGCTTTGAATCAGATTACCATCCCTGATAAATTTCCCATACCCATTATTGAAGAGCTGTTGGATGAGCTAGGAGGAGCCACCATATTTTCTAAGCTTGACCTCAAATCGGGATATCATCAAATCAGGATGAAGGAGACA